TCACTCGGATATACATCACAATATGGAAAAAAAGACTATCACAACTTCCGTTTCAGGATTGCAACATATGTGGTGGTAAAATAAAACAGTATTACGACTGATAAAATGTTTAATCTGAATCTAGCTCTCTATGAAATATGAAAAATAAAACTGTAAGGGAAATATTATGGACATGTATTTGAAATTCATAAGGAAGAAACAATTACGATAGAGAGGGTGCCAATTTAAACACAGAAGTGCCACTGTCTGCAAATCCTGGTTGATTAATTACTAATCATCACAGACTAATTACAGTGACGGTGAACTGTGCCTTTATCTAGTATAGTAGCGTGTTTGAAAAAGGAAAAGCAAATCCTCTTGTAATCCACCTTAAATCTAAAATAACCCAAATGCACCATAAATCTGTAATTGGAAGACATCCGAAAAAATAACTACTTAAACAGTGCAAGCTGTTTCCATTCAGCTGCAAACACTCATTCACACACTCTTACTTTTGCACATCCGTACAGACTTATGCACCACACTGTTTAGATCATTTATCATGTAAAACATAAAAAATCTAAAATAAATCAGTCTGACAAAATGCATGAATGTAAAACCGGTCACCCAGGCAATTAAAGAAGCTGTTGCAGGCACAATGCTCAGCTTATACGAGCCTTGTACCCTATTATTTGCATGCAACACTTTTAGGCATGAACACATTTGTGACCGTGAAACCAGAGGCTGCGCTATTTGTAAAGAATATATTGCTTTTGATAATGCTCTTTGATTCTGGCATGACAGGTTAGTCCAGACAGATGTCAGTATGAGACATCATTATTAGATGAAAAGATAGCCTACAACGAGACAGGAGCAAATGATGTCAGTTCATCATGTGACAGAAGCAGGTATGTTAAGATAATGAGATTCTACAGTGATTATCTGTGATTCTATGGTAAAAAAATATGGATACTCCAGCTGAGTATCACATGGTCTGTGGTATATCAATGATGTGAAGCGTCTTCAAGTCAAGTCAAAAGAGAAGAAAGATGTTCATCTTTCTTCGCAGCCTGCTCCTCAGGCTTACACAAGAGGAGAACCATCTGTTTGAATTAGTGCTGAGGTTGACTCTAGTCTAACCTCTGGTAAAGTCTAAAAGGTTTAAAGCTAGAAGAAGTCTGCTATTGAACAAGAGGAGCAGTCTTCCATTGTTAAGAGTACAAATTGAAAACAGAAATGGCCGCTTCCCTTTCCTCAACTCTTCAGGAAAGGTTGTGCAAGTAATTGAGCAACAATTGAAGTAACTTCAACATTTAAGGTGCCATTTGAGACATCTTGATTATTAAATGTTTCTTTCTGAGGTCTATATATGAAGCTTTTGAACTATATCACCAACTAACCGTTTTATATGACATGTTCCATCCTTTAGCTGTTTCTTGTTGTTTCTCCGTATGCACTGTGAAAAATACAACTTCCATTTTGTCAGACACACTATTTTTAAGACTGACTGATCTGCTTACATTTTTTTATTTTAAATAGAAGTACCTTGAAATACTCAACTATCAATTGCTAAGCAGCTTTGAGTTCACTGGACTTCAGTGCAACACAGTTGTGGAAACTCTTTTCTTAAAGTTAGACTTGGTTCAAACAAACTCCTGTTTAACTTTCAACGATGTACTTGCTGGGGAAGCTTAATTTTACTTTAAAATGGTAATTGTAGTGACCAACCAGTCTAATTTTCAAAAAATTTATTGGAAAATCTACAACTTTGGAAGTTGAGAAAAGCTGGTTGCCTTTTTTTTTTTAAGTTGAGTTAACTTTATATTTTAAAGTGTGTCAAATAAGCCACAGTGCTTTGCTATAAGCTGCAGCCCATCCTTTTGAGCCCATCGTTTATTAAGAAAAGCCTTTTTACCAAGAAGTTATTACACTGTGACAGAATAATCAAACCTTCCTTCTGAAGGATATGCAAAACTGTGGGTGCTACACACAGCCAGTAAAAGGTCTGGTGGACATTCTACATTTTTTACTCTCATTTTCACTTGCATCGTTGTCATGGCCAATGGCTATAATTGTCGCCATCAAACTAATATTTTAGCTAAATAGCATTAGATCAAGCTTGGATTGGTTTAGTTTGATGCAAATTCCTGATACAGACAAATAGTGCAAATGTGCAGTAGAATTCCTCAGATCTGTAATGACATGTTCTGCTCTGAACTAATAACAAGCAGAGCACTTCAGAAGAAGTTACAGAAACACAGCGTTCAAATCATACATCAAGTATTTCGGTCCCACTTTATATTATTAAGTGGCTGTAAGTGCTATGTACTTACATCGAAAAATAAGTACAATGTACTTACTACTTATTGTGTTCATGTAATGTAAAACACTTTTTCTGCTATAGAGGTGTGATACGGGTAAGGTCAGGGACAGGTGTGGTGGTATGGGTAGGTTTGAGGGTGGGTTAAGGTGTAAGGGAAGGGTCAACAGTGTAATTACATAAATTAATTACAGCTGTAATTACATGCAGGTATTTTCAAAACATAAGTACAATGTAAAAGCATGTATGTACACAATAAGTCCATTGTATCAAATTATTCATTTCGATGTTAGCAGTAGTTAAAGCCACTTAATATAAAGTGGGACCAGTATTTCTTTTTCATCTGATCCATTTCTGATTCTTACTGTTGTTTTTTGTTTTATTATAGAAAAGGCAGAACAGATAGAACCTCTACAGGAATAAAATTACATCAAATCTTCATGTAAAGTTTCACAAACAAAATAAAAGAAATAAAGAAAAAAGACAGGAAAAAAGAGAACATTATAAACACATACTGAGGAAACCATTATGCACCAGCGGTATTATAAAAAAAAATCATCATAATATTCAAGAATCTGTAACTTCTCTTGTTTTTAAATCAACCTAAAAGAATTAAGAAATGCTTGTTTCAAATGACAAATGTGAAAAGTAGGCTGCACGTTGAATAAAAAATGTCCCAAAAAATAAATAAATGTAATTCATTGAAGTAATTGTTTATAGTTTATAGTATACCTTTATAGTAACATATATCCGAAAGGATTTGGAAGAATCAAGGTGCTTACCTATATGAAGATATAAACTATTGCGAACTTATACGTCAAATATTGCATTATATTTCCCTAGATATTACACCGTCAATCACAGCATATAGCTACTCGTGTTTGTCTGTCCCCGTGTTTCAATATTAAGTAACTATATAATAAACAGTTAGCTGGGAATTATTATAATAAATAAATAAAAATCAGAACCCTGCTACACAACAAACAAACAAACAAACAAACTGACTGTACATAATCCTTAAAAAAATGTGCTTTATGAGAAAATTAAGCCTGAGCAAAGATTGTACCCCGTATTTATTTACACAAATTAAGATTGGGTGTATCGTATACCAAGTCAACCATTTAAAATAATTGGCAGAAAATTAACTATTAATGTGACAGCCAAAATGAAAATGAAACAGAGATGTCAACACCTGTGCAACTCTAGAATCTAGTGTCAACTGAGTCTAATTACCCGGTTAGCTCACTGTGACATCTGACAGTTATCGCTACTCTATCAAACAGATTTAAAGGCGGAACTGTTGTGCTTTAATACAGCCGGAGGGGATTCTAAATAAGGACATGTAACGTTACATCTCTTATACAAAACATTCGGTACCATGAACTGCTTCGGCAAAAGGTGAGACATGTTACACAATAATGGAGCTCATTATTTCTGTTTGACAACTGAACCATTGTATATCTACGTGCAGCGTAAACTGTACAATAATGCAACTCGATGTGGATAAACCGCACCGATTATAGCAGCAGATCAGAACAGGATAAACCTTACAAAATAACCGACACGATGATTATGATGGATAGTATTAATTACGCGTTCGCTCCTGGCATGTCAAGCACAACCTTATGATGATTGTGAAGAGCAAGACCAGATATCAGTCAACTTTATTAGCCGGGTTATGATCATATTTAATGCAACGAACAGATGGCTGTGTCGGTGTATGACAGCCAGCGCTTGAGCTCAGCAGGTGATCTAGGATCAAATCCAGACAATCTCTGCTGTATCGTAGGCCGCAGCCCGTGATCACACACACTCTCACACACACACATACAACCTGTTTGGGAACACGCAGCGTACCTACCTCGCCTTGTAGAGTGTGGAATTACATTTCACGTTGCCATGATCTTTAGAGCTGTTCTCTTGTACTGCTCTCAGGCGACAGCACCCATTTCTCAAACTAATGATTTCTTTTCCGGAGTATTTACATGGACAACGCTTGTGTTTCCTGTTTTGTGGTCATGTGCCAGGTTTAACCAATCACATATCTGTTGTGGAGGACAGGGCCAATCAGAGGGCGAGGTCATAGAGCCTAAGCGTGAGTGACATGGAGTGTAGCCAATACAAATCAAGATAATTGTGTCAGGTTGAATGCGCGACTGAAGTCAGTAGATCAGTGGCAGTGCAGAGCCGTTGATCATGATCAGTGTGAACTGTCAACGATGGGGAAAGAAAACACGAAAAGCGATCTCCTTAATTTACAATTTTAACAAATTAATGAATAAAATAAATTATTTAAAGTGGTCTTCATTGAAAAGAATGCTTAAACCGTTGTTGTTTTTTTCAGGCAATAATTGTAGAACGTAGCATTATGTGCAAATAAAATGGGATTATTAAATATATATGCTTAATATAACACTGAGCACTGCTTTATATCAGTGCTGTAAAATATTTTACACAATATCAAATGTGTGAATATTTATATATATTGTTGTCAAAAATATTTCCAAATATGACAACTGATCACAAGTATCAGATTTCTGTTCTGTCTTGTGTTAACTTTCTGTTCCAGCCCTCCATGACTACAGTAATGAAGTGTGCTGTTATCTCATCAAATATAAGCCTAAACATTTTTTTAAATGTTATTTTGGAAAAATAAAAAAATCAGGAAAGGATGTTAACAGGTATAATAAAATAAGTCACGTTTCACAAACAAAAGGCACAATTTATTAAGTCAACACATTTGCAACTTGAAATGTATCAATGTAGATGTCTACCATTTATGCAGTGTCTGTTTGATATATAACATACATAGCAGTGAAGTAATGCTATATTTTGTGGAAGAACACTTCAAAATGAAAGCAAGATGTCTATGGGGCCCTTCCTGTTATTTGCTGACTTCCTTGCACATTGTACACTAGAGATTTGACTGTATTTAGATATAGTGAGTCAAGTTGCTCTTTGCTTTTCCCACCAGGCTTCCTATATTAATGCCCCAAACCAAATGCAAAAGTATGAGCCATTTAATTAACCATAAGTTTAGTTTTTTTTAAATTCAAGTTAAGGAACAAAGAAAAGTATCCCAGCCACAAATGCGGTTCTGCGAAATAACAGATATGTCATCTGAATTCTGTAAAGTCTACAGACAATCATAGATAAAAGGCCAGGGAATGTTATTACAGAGCAAAGGTTACTTTAATTAAAGCAAAGTTTAAATGTATTTAATTTGAAGATGAAAGTCATTAAATTACTTCAACTTTGTTCCTTGCCATGTTACACCTCGCCAATTTATGTGTTATGTTAGCATTTGTACATGTCACAGAAGTGTCTCATAGGACCATCAAGAAGTTTTTTCACACAAATATGAATTTACCAGCATCACTAAACAGATTTTAATTACGGTACTTCAAAGCGAAATTGCACTAATTGACATTTCAGCAGCAGATATTGTTCAGAATGCTGTCAACCAAAAGCACATATAAACATATTTTAAATTAACCTAAAAATGCAAGAGAGCCCAAATTGTCCTGTGGTGTGATGAGCACAGGGTTCAGAGGTCAGAAGCTCATGAGGAGGTCACGCTCCTGCATGCTGGTAACGAAAGACTTCCCAAAAACGAAGGAGTGAAGGCCTGCCCGCAGCTTCTCCGCCATCGCCATGATGATATTCAAGTCCCCTTCCAACGTTAAGTCTAAATCAGTCTTCAGATTGCGCAGAGATCTGAAAGGTTTCTTCCCCTTCTGCCTGTAATCATCAATAATAATCAATATGACAGCAAGAGTCTACCTGGGTATACAGTAAACAACATAATCATGACCTACACTCCCTGCTCCCCTTACTGTGTCTAATGATGCCAAACTATTTTTTACCAGTGCATACTCAAACATGGACATGCAATCGTACTTTGTGAATTACCTCAGGAATTATTATACACTTCTGAATCAAACTTGAATTTAAAATACAGACAGCAGAAAGGTTTCAGGTGTGCCAGTGAAGGGGTATTGTAATTGATGGAAGCTTGCATCATGAATTTTATTATGTTTAACTTAAAAAAGGTGCACGTTGTTTTCGTTTGAATTGAAATAAGCAAGAAAGAAAATAGCTAAATATTATATTAAGTCATTAGTTACTTATCGATCAAATTCCATCACAATATTCATTATTGCGACTGCTAAAATAAAACTGACCAAAAATGTTAAATTATGCTATAAATCTTTGCTTACACTACCAATCAAAAATTTCAGTACGATCTTTTTTAGGGAATTCAACTTTTATCCCGCAAGGAGCATTAAATTGATCACAAGTGAGATTAAAGACTTTTATAATGTTACAAAAGATTTCTATTTCAAATTAATCAAAGAATAATGAAAAAATGTTTCAGTTTTCACAAAAAATTAAACAGCACAACTGTTTTCAACATTGATAATAATAAGAAATGTTTCTTTAGCAGCAAATATAAAATGTATTCAAATAGAAAGACAATATTCAAATTTTAATTATTTTAAACTGTAATAATATTTCACAATATTACTGTTTTTACTGTATTTTTTATCAAATATATGCAGCCAACCCAAAACTTTTCAATGGTAGTGTATATTACAAAAAAATTGTGCTTAATGTTACTCAAAATTCAGACATTCAGACTAATGGCAGAAGGTGTGGATTCCAAGAGCACATCTGACTGACATGTAAAGCAACCAATCACAGCTTCTTTTGTTCAGCGTCATGTTTAGGGGAACGGAAATTTAAAGTCGATGACCCTATAATAACAGACCAGCGTGCAATTCACTCAAGAACACTGTACAAGTTTACTGCAACAATGGCGCAATAATGTTGCTGTGAACTTCAAAAACTTTTGAAAATCCAGCGTTTAGTTGATCTTAATAAGCATTTATTGTCACAGTTGTAAACATGACGGCTTTCTTTTTTTACATAATGGGGTTCACGACAGTTTTGTTTCCAGGTGGACCGTTAAATAATAATAATAATAATAATTCATTACATTTATATAGAGCTTTTCTCGGCACTCAAACTGCTTTACATAGAAGGGGGGAATCTCCTCAACCACCACCAATGTGCAGCATCCACCTGGATGATGCGACGGCAGCCATATTGCACCAGAACGCCCACCACACACCAGCTTACTGGTGGAGAGGAGACAGAGTGATAAAGCCAATGAGTATATATGAGGATGATTAGGAGGCCTTGATGGATAGAGGCCACTGGGCACATTTGGGATTTTTAATGACCACGGAGAGTCAGGACCTCGGTTTAACGTCTCATCCGAAGGACGGTGCTTTTTGACAGTATAGTGTCCCCGTCACTACACTGGGGCGTTAGGACCCACACAGACCACAGGGTGACCCTGCTGGCCTCACTAACACCTCTTCCAGCAGCAACCTGGTTTTCCCAGGAGTCTCCCATCCAGGTAACCAGGCTCAACCCTGCTTAGCTTCAGTGGGCAAACAGTCCTGGGCTACAGGGTGATATGTTAAAGAACGCAACATGCAAGTCTCCCAGAAATTCTGGAGAACCCAACCAATCAGAAGACAACTTCGAAACTCCCGAAGCGTTTCCCATATTTTGTGCCATATGCATCAGACGTTCAGCCAACTGTCCGTGGGCATAACATTTAAGGCTGAGGCTAAAGTGGTTGGTGAGGTTGTGAGCTCAAAGCTGCTGTACTTACGTCTCATCCTCAATATATCGGAGCAGTGTCAGGGCCTTCCTGTGCAGCAGGAGAAGGAAGTGGGACAAATACACACTCCGCAGAGACAGACCTGGTTTCAACAGAAACACCTAGAAACCAACAAAGATGCATTCACACACACGTTATCAAGGCCAAAGTGGAGGAAGAAAGGGAGTCAAAAAGGAGTCAAAGCAGGCTTACCTCATCTATGAAGGACTTCACAAGCATGTCTTTGTGCATCACGTCCTGAAATATATTCCTAAGAAAAGAAATAAAGATTAGTTACCGATTCAGAGGGCCTCTTATATCCTCTTAAGAAACTTTAAGAGCTGCTTTTAATTCTCTAAAATAAGGTTCAGAAGCTGACTACTTAGCGTGATTATATCGTATCGAGCGAATGATATGGTGAGTGCCCTCAAATATTATTACAATTTAAAATAACTGCTTTCAAATTTAATGTATTTTAAAATGTAATTTATTCCTGTGATGGCAAAGCTGAATTTTCAGCATCATTACTCCAGTCTTCAGTATCACATGATCCTTCAGAAATCATTCTAATATGCTGATTTGAGGCTCAAGATATTATTATTATTATTAATGTTGAAAATAGTTGTGTTGCATAATATTTTTGTGGAAATCTTTCTGGATTCTTTGCTGAATAGAAAGTTCCAAAGAAATATAAATATTTTATAATCAATTTAATACATTGCTACATCGCTGACTAAAAAAAATAATTTATTACAATTTTGCTGAGCTAAAACTTTTAAACTGTAGTATGAACATGAATTAACAATGAACAATAGTACATTTATAAATAAATTAAGATTTAACCTAGATTAATAAATGCTGTAAAAATGCTGTTTGTTCGTTGTTAGTTCATGATACCTAATGCATTAGCTAATTTGTAAACCTTATTGTAAAGCGTTACCAAATATTTTAACAGGTCCTGTGATTTAATGACATTTATTTTGGTGGATCTCTGGAATACCTGATTCTGATTGGTCAGTCACTACATTCTGAGGATTCTCAAATATTTTTTGTACACTGACCGCTAAACTATGTAATTGACTTTTGTCCCTGCCATCCAACACTGTGCAAGTTGATGTATCTTGTATCTCTCTATCCTCTCATATGTAATATCTTTATTAATTTAAGTAGTGGTAATAAGCAGAATAAAACACACACAAAAAAAACCTCATGATGAAACAAAATCACTCTGCTTTGCATCATGATTTACTTTGCAATAATAACCAACTGACTGATTATCCCTTAAATATATATATATATTTAAATTCTGTGTATTTGAATAGAAGTCCACGAGAGTTTGTTATCCTGACAGTAAGAAACAGCCAATCATAATACAGCTTCCAGACTAAGAAGGTATGCAGGGCTCATACAAGTCTGGGGTGTAGGAGTCCTGGGCATTGATGAGGTTGTCTGAACTGATGTCATCCTCGCTGGCAGCCCTCCAAAGGGCACTGAGCTCAGAGCGCATGTAGCGCCGCTGATGATACGTGTGCTCGTGGCAGGGTGGCATCTGCTTCACCGTGTTAATGTCCACGTCGATGTGGGTGGTGGGATACGGGGAGTACAGAACCTGCCGGTAGGGTAATACAAAGCTGCCAGTGGAGTCCTGGGAAAGAGAAGAGTCCTTAATGATTATGGGTAGTAATGTGCAGCAGTTATAAGTTTCCCATGGAGGGATGCTGTGGATACCTTAAGAAGGCCCTGAACAAAGAGACCGGTGTCATATTTAAACGAGCCATCGGGGTGACAGAGTCGAGAGCACTTTCTCTCCGCAGGAGTGAGGAAGAGACACAGCGTGAGCACAATCTACAAAAGGAAACATCATTATTTGACTTACATACTAAGGTGTGAATGTAGAGAAATATCTATGCAGGAATGTGCACCTTATTGACTTTCTCAGGATTGCTGCCAACCACCATGGAGCAGCCACAAGTCTGAAGATGAGAGCTGATAGCCCTATGATAGAGAAAGATGACAAACCTTACTAAATCAATTCAGATCATTGACTTCTAATAAAGATGTAATATGTCTTACTTGTGCAAAAAGTCTTCATGACAGCTGTCTCCAATATCATCATCGTTGAGCACAGTGTCCTTTAGCTGTAACAAGGAAAGTTATTTCTTTATATGGTTCAGTGAGAGTGAGAGAGAAAAACATTACATTTTTCAAAACTGTCATAAAAAGATCAAATGTATGTGCTACTGAGTGAGGATGGCTATGCATCTTTCCAGCAAGACACACCCTTAGAAACCAATCAGTGTTTTTGAATGCTCGTACAATGGCATTTTTAAATGATAAATAATACAGTATATATTTAATAAACAAAATAAATGTATAAGTATTTACAATGTTCATTAATTGGTTAATGACATGACACTAATTCTTTTGTTCAGGATTTATATCAGTATTTAAAATACAATTCACACATACAATGACTTGAATATACTCTTCTATGATGAGCTTGTTCTGCACAAAGTCAGAAATATCAGGGTCAGAAAAAAGCCTCATTAATACCTATAATACTAAATTATTTTACTGCATTACTTAGTAATTAATTTGTATTAACATTTTATTTTATTTGCATTCTATTTTTTAAATATGGGAGAAGCAATCTGAGTTCGGCTCACATCCCAATCTCCTTCAGTTCTCATCACTTCCTTTCTAAACTAAATTCTCACTGTGAACATAAAACTTACAAAAGCCTCTCAAAAATGAAAATACTCACATCCACCTCCTCTGGTACACTGTGTTTCTTCATGGAAGTGAGAAGCTCCATTATGGGAACAATCTCAGATGACAACATAGAGATTATGTTGTAACCCTACAAGGTAAAACACACACACAAATAAGCATTACAAAAACAAACAATCAACAGCTGGATTCAAGTACAATTAAGGTAAACAACTCAAAGCAAAAACCTTCTGCATGCAGATGCGTCCCTTGCGGATAATGTGTTTGAGTCTCTCCACACACACGCTGTGCAGTGGCAGGTAGAAACCGAGCTCTGACTGTGGCAAGATGATTGACAGAGCGCAAGTATTCTTATCACCCTTGAGTTCTCCATCAAAAATCAGTGAGACGATGATGACTCCCTTTTCCGCCAAGACGAAGAATTTCACATCCACTGCGCCGCTCTCAGCATTTCGCAAAATCTCACCGTTCAGCGTGTGATTGGCCAGAAATGTGACCTCTCCATCACTGAGCAGCGACAACCCCTGACCTTTTGGGGCCCAGATGTGGCGTACACGAGGTCCCAGGATGTTGTCCCAGTAAGCGAAGGTCGCAGCCAACATGGGACACCAGTCCTCAACCAGCACTTCAGTCTTAGCCACAGCTGGAGACTGCGGGGGACAGGCTGCGGACATGACGGCCACTCACGCTGACCTTTACAGTCACACTACTGTCAGTCTCACAATGCAGAAGTCAGTGGTGACAAACAGACTGTAACATTCCTCTGCTGTTGCATTGCACTCATGCAATCTGTTTGAGAGGAAGAGAAAATACAGTGGACTAGAAAGTGAAAACAGTGGCATGACCAGTAAACCATTATAAAATTGCATAGTTGACTTCTAACCTAGACACATTTAGGCTGAAAAATATCATTTTCTTTTCAAGAAAAAAAATACACACACAAGATTTTCGACCTCTGAGTATGTCAAAATATCAAAATAATTTAGAGCTGCCATGGAGCTTCATGTAACGTTACTGTATGTCAACACCGCAGTCTGTTGTCAACACACATCAAGCTAATGTTAATCACTACACCGCGACTTCCATCTATAAAATTCATCTGCGTTAGCTTGTATAATCGTAATGATTTTTTTTTTTTTGTCGCTAATATGTTACACATACAGAATCTTACCCGTTTTAGCTCAAAACAACAACAGCACATTCGTCCTCCCTTTCCCGGTTCTCTGCTGTCATTGGCAGAAGGCTGCGAAGAAGCGCGTTGCTGAAGCGCTGGGCACAACAGTGCCCTCTGGCGGGTTAACGAGTAATTTGATTACCCGAGACCGGGGGGAAATTCAATTACCTTGTGAGTTGTTTTGTCAAACCATCACTTTAGGCTGTGATCTGTATTGAGGAAGATACCGCTGTTATATATTATAGTATCGAACTGCGTTGTACATTATATTGCTATTATATTAAATTATTGTTGTCTTTTTGTCTACCATGCCCTGACACCACAGCTAAATCGGGGTTGTAGGCCACTTCAGTGCTATTTAATACACTATTCTAGGGGCGTCGCTGGAAAATAGCTTTTTTTTTTTGCAGTGTCCCATTTAATTGTTACTGATAAATCCTTGTCTGACGTGGAAGATTAACGTATTATTAACGACTTGAGGATCATTTGACATGTGTCCTTACTTTCTGTCGGCTGTCAGAACCAACCAACCCAATTTGCTAATAATGAATCTTTCGGTTCTATTCAAGTGTTAGTAAATCGGTTCGCCATTTAGTCTGAATCTATCTTCACCAACGGACTTAATCATTTGGATCACTTTCTCATTCCCTGGCAAAGTAACGTTACGATATTGTAACAACACGGAGAAGAAAGAGCGCCTGATGAAGTGGATTTTCACCTAGCCTACAGTCCACTGAAACAAACCTGAAAATGCTATAGTTTGCCAGCGAGGATCGTCTTTATCACTGCAGGTAAAGACATTATCCCTAACAAAAGGGTAACACTATCCCTCATGGTTTCACGGACAAGGCTTAAGTCTAGTCCTAAACTAAATGCATGTTTGAGTTTGGCTAAAAGCAACTTGCATTGACATATTTAAAATATGTCAATTGACATATTGACAAAACCCAATTGACATATTTAATATGTCATTGCCATTGTGTCAAGATTCACACCGGTAATGTTTTATTTTAAGGCACATTTATAAAAGTTACTTAAATGTCCAAATTAAACTAAGGCCTAGTCCTGGCTTAATCTAAGCCCTATGAAATCGGGCATATGAGTGGAAGAAAACTAAACTACATAAGCATTTTTTAAAGATATATCAAGTCACCTATCAAAGTTATATGATATAATTTACACTGGTAGGCTACTAGCACAGCAGGCTACGTTTTTAAAGGCATAGTTTGAGGCAAAATATTGCTAAAAACTAATATAGATATTATCCATTTATTTTTCATGGGTCAAATATAAGTTGATGTGAATGTTAGGTTGTAAAACAGTTATGCAGCTAAAAAATTGAATGGGAAAAAAATCATTTGTAGCCTAGCCCATATTTCAATTCTCAAAATTAGAGATGAAACATCCCTTGTGGTCACTCTACGCTGAATCACCCAAATCGCATACTGTGAGTAGGTACAATATTTGAATTTGAACTTACTTCACGACCGTTAAAAAAAAAAGTATGTTCTATAAAGTATGAATGAAATTCAATGGGTGCTTTCTCAATACTCAAATTGCTGTATCCTCACTTCTCCAGCATGTGACCCAGAGACTGATCGAATTCACCCATCTTGAAGGACATCTCAAATATCTAATTGCACCACGAGGAGTTAGGAAGCTTCCTGAGGAGTCATGAGCGAGGATACACAGTTGTATCCTTCCCTCGCATCCTAAGGGGTGGAGCTAAGACGTGAGGAAAAGAAACTAGGATGCAAATAAAAAAATTGAGAAGCACCCAATTCTGTGTCACATTTGTCAGCCGCATACGTCATCAAGGATGTCTTATTTCAGAAAAGTAACCATTATAAAATTGACCGTAAATTGTTGTAATTTCCTTCTGACTTTGGAATGATGGAATAATGGTTACTTAAATAAGGCAGCCTCTTATATGTATGCAGCCGACAAATGCGACCTCCACGCGACGCAAGGAGCTATGATACACATCTTCAGACGTACATCCGCCATGTACTGTCACCTGACCTACCAGCATCAGTTGCGTCGCTTCACTCCCATTCATAAATCCTCTCCAGTGGCCTCATAGGATAGTGAAGTGTCCAGCAAATGCGCACTTTAGAATCTCGCCGGAAGTATTAGGTCATCCGGACACTCTTCGCCTACTGTTTTTCGAATACTATGCATTCGGACGCACTCTGTTGACGTACTGTTTTTTGCATGCTATATAGTAGGGAAGTATTCGATTTCGGACACCGCTTTAGTCATCTGCAGTATTGTCCTTACTCTTAACCTTCTGATTGGCACCTCTTTCTTCTACCTCTTGGTATGTAATACACATTGACCACATCCAACCTTGCTGAACTGTTCCTCTGATCTCAATTTGGTGGTTAAATACACCACTTGACCCTCGCCACCTCAAAGCACGGTTGTTGGGTGATATATATTGTGCTCTCAGTTTTCCATTACAATGCCACAAACCTCATTGACTTATTGTGAGGGCAGAGAGAGAGAGAGAGAGGCATTTCAGGTTGCCATGGCAACAATAGTGCAAAGCAGCGTTAGCGACACTTTTAGGCGGCGCCTAGCAACCGTATCCATGCATCCAAAGGCCAGGTTACAAGACGGCATGGGAAGAAAATAATTTGTGCAGGCTTTTGTTAGAGCTGTTGCCTTCTGCTTGATTTGCTTGACTACAGAATGTGCTAGAAATATAGCAACAAATTATTTGCAGTTCAGTACGGATGCATGTGCGGCTTTGGTATTAGCATGATGAGAAACTGATTATGAGTGAGTCTTGATGAGTCTGTGTGTGTGTGTGTGTGTCTGTTTCTATATGAAACCTTAATGCTCACACGCTCTCTTCACTGATTAGGGCTCGCTGTGCTGATTAGCAGTTGTCATGTCTGCTCTTTACAGAGTCATTACATCTGCCAGAGTGATTTCCCTCCACCCCGTTCCTCCTCATCCCATCATTCTGTGGTGTGGAAGAGTGGAGATGCATGGCTCCTGCTCGCCCCAGCCCCTCGCGGACGGTAATGGGTTATTTTTTCTAGAACGGTCTTGCTAATGCCATGGGTATGAAAAAATCTCATATGCAACATATCGTGTCAGCATGCCAATGCTCAAATTGAGCATGCCTTCAGTGGCGGAAAAAATGTCAGAACGGAAACCTGGCAAACAAACACACAGGGATGGTTGTGTTGTGTGATGGTGCAACTGAAGCCACTTTAAAATATGAGCAAAGCTCAAAGATTTATGACTTGGGTTCAGCTGGTGACATGTTGTTCCCCTTTGTTTCTTATTTTGCTTATTTGGCAGGCAGATAGGCAGCACTGGCAAACCTTTAGTCTAATCTCATCCTCCTTCACCATCAGTCAGAGTGAAATATGTGGGGGAGATGAACCCCATCTTGGTAATCATTAGCCAACATCAATTTTCCACTGACGCGAATCCACAGGGTAAAGATTTGAAAGTGTTTTGGGCGGAGCTTTTTTCCCTCAAAATCAGGACCTTGTGGAAATATTGATTACCTGTCATTTAGCAGATGCTTTTTATCTGAAGTGATTTACTGTACACTAACAGCAGTGTACAGCCTCCCTGGAGCTTTGTCTAGGAACAGAGTGGGTAAAAGAAAATCTTTTTGAAATAACTGCTGATCTGGGACTGTTCACTCCACGGCAGGGGTTCCCAAACTTTTTCAAGCTAAGACCCACCTAGAGTGTTATAATTAATCTCAAGAACCACCAAAAAAGTTTTAGAATGAAATATGAGGGGGGAAACCCCATTTGTTCTTTCATTTTGTTGTATACTATTGAATTTGGAATTTGGAAATCTCATAAGGCGAATGGTAAACTATCAAAATGGGGATCGACAAAGACATGATTATGAGCTATACAGATAAAGAATATATTTTTTGCTTTTTTTGTGACACAGCATGCAAAAGCAGCCTAACAGCAAGTGATTCATTGAAAATTGTTGAGTAGGTGAGTCAATTGTTCATTCAGTAGCTGCTCTGACGGATTTGTTCATTCAATGAAGGATTTGTCAGACTAATTCAAACTTGTAACTCATGAGATTGTGAGTCATATGGAACGATTCATTAAAGTAAGAGTCATCCTTTTGTGAATTGGACTGTGTGGCACTGTGGCTGATTCCGAAATCACAGATATAACCTCAAATAGGGCACTATTTCAAGGGACAGCCATTTGTAGTGGTTTCCGAAACCATTGTGGATGTTATCGAGTGCACTCATTCTATCCCACATTGCACCGCAATAACGAGTGTACAACCGATGTACACTCAACGGCTGTCCGAATTCGCTCACTCGTTTACATTCACTCATTCAAGTGGACTGTATTAGTGGACTAACGTAGGGAATTAGTGATGGAGGGTTTAGGGGGCGATTTCGGATTCAGACTGTGTTTTTGTTATCCGCTTGTTAAGGCGTAGCCATATACACTTTTCATTCCACTGTTTGACTTCCATTCATTTGCATGCAAATGCGGGAGACAGGAAATGCAAGCTCATCCCAATTTTGCTGCTTTCCAAAGTTCAATTTTGGTGAACTCTGCCCTGCAAATTTGTGACCAACAGAGGAATGTCACATCACGTAGTGACCTCTTAGTTAAAATTAAAAGAACACAAACTTTAGATCTGAAGGATTGCAGTGTTGGAGTAAACTGGAGTAGATTGCATATTTTTACATTTTGGATGTACAGTATTAAATGTTGCATTTTTTTTTTTTAAAGACGTTGCCGTGTCCGTAGAAATTTGCATGCTTAAATTGCGACAAATGTGTCACAATTTCCTGGTCCAAACGCTCAAAAGTAGGACTACTTAATTCAAGAATAATTAGTGTTGGTAGTAATATTTGATTTCATAGGTAATTCTCCTCTTTACTGATGTCCTGAAGTCCTTCTAATATGATTGTCTATTGGGTCGCAGGCAGTACCCCATCTTAAAGCAAGACCTTTATACATCAGTTACTGATCCTTTAATGTGTCTCTAGGGAGACTCATTCACATTGAAAAGTGGTGCCCTGCTCATATTTTCACCTCAAACGCGTCCTGACAGAACACTGCAAGGTCAAGCACTCACCACAGAACACTAGTCATATGATGATGATGCACACGCTGAAACGCTCTTATAAAAATACACCTTTTGTTTCAATTGGTGAGTCATAGACGTGGACATGATTAGTTCAGGTATATTTAGATGCTTTTGATTGTGCAATAAAACAAGCTCACCTCATAAGGACAAGCATACCTTCAGGGTACTTTAAGGTACTGGTAGAGATTATTGGTTCACCCTGCAGTTTCTATACAGCTGGACCACTTTTGGCACCAAATACAAAAAGTAGTAACCTGAGGCACATTGCCTTGATGGAAAAACTCTGTGCACTTTTGTGTAATACAATCAATCTAAAGCAGTTTAAGTGGAGGAAAGACTTTAAAATAATAATCTGTTTGGATAGGCTAAATTTAATTCAGTGCAGTGCTTATATCAAATAAAATGTTTAGCCATCCGTCTTTCCTTTTTAAAATTGAGTTAAGATAGAGTCAGGAAGGAATATAGTTTAAATATAGCTTCAAGTTGCAATATACAAGGTCCAATGTGAACAGCAAGAAGTAGGTAATTAAATGCTTAGACGTAACAGAACTGACATCAAGATTTGGAATGAGAATGACACTACTAAAAACATTGTAGAACGTGGCACTGTAGAGAAAATCGAACAAATACAGCCTAGGAGTTTACGAATAAAAAAAACAAACACATAAAAACCCTTAGCAAGAAAAGAGAAAATGAGTCCTCAATATTCAGTATAACAAAAGAAAAATAATATTAATGCACTACAGAGAATTACAGACAGATGAGTGTCAGTTTCAACAACATTCCCATCAACCAATCAGATCTGAGGGACAAGTTTACAGTTTATGTCAAGTTTAGGCTTACAACCACCTTCTAATACATCAGTGTTATGCATCTATCATTTCCCTCTGATTTTAGGGATAACGTATGGGTAGAGTTAGGTTTAGGGGTAGAGATATGGTTAGGATTAAATTTTTGGACAGCAATGTTGTTCCAGGATGAACAAAATAGGTTGACCCAGGAACACGTCTAACTCAGCAAAAACAGGACGTGACGAAAATTCGAAATACTCCTGCCTGACCAATTTAGATTAACTCTATTAAGTAAAAATCAATAGAGCTTCAACAGGCTTTGCTGCTTGTATACTTGAATCAAAGCGGTCAATGACACCATTCAACAGAATTCCCATTCATTTCAATAGCAGTTGTTTGCCTGGAAATATTCAATTCGAAGACTGCCATCCTTACTCATGGGAGCAGTAGGAAAATGACATCACAACACTGATTGGTTGATCTCAGCACAAGTACATACATGCACAATCACAAACCCTTCACTTGTGACTATCCTGAGCTACGACGTTAAATGCAGCAGACAGGGGCAAATATAAGTCCATTTCATGCTTTTAAGAGCCCTAAAAAGGTCACTGCCAAGTTCCAACACATCTACCAAACTATAATTAGTAATGTTTACTTGAAGAATTGTTCACATTCTAAAGAGCATTCATACCAGATTTCACGAACATTGATTAAGCGGTTTATAAGAATTTTTTGTATGTTTAGAGAACACATACATTATAGAGACTAAATTTATGCTTCATGAGAAGCTGGATATGAATGTGAAATTTCAAGTTCATAGCTCATAGCTCAAATTGACCAACAGCATTGAGGTTTAATATTTTTATATAATACATTTTATATGCCTGTTGCTAAGCAACGACACTGTTAATCTATCCCATAATTCAGATGATTGGAAAATTTTGCAACAAAAATAGCCTGCATGCAAAATTGGGTGACTTTTCGCCAAAAAGGGGTGAAGTTAATGAAAAAGGGAATAAACACTAGAAGCACCAAAAGCAATAAGTCTAACAAGGTGTTTGATCATGTCTGTTTGGCAGGTTTTGTGCCATAGGGAACACTTGAGACAGAATAAGATCTGAAATGACAGTAACACTTATCAAGCTGTACGATTTATATTTATTTTCTTTGGAAAATATAACAAGATATTTAGAATGTAAAAACATTTCAGCAGCATTTGACAGAACATAAGAAAAGAAAAGAACATTTTCACACAGTTCCACAGACTTCCACTGAGTCACGAATACAGCCCCTGGAACCCACCATGTCAAGCGGCTTCTTGCATTTTAACATCTTTACAACAAAATGGCAGAAAACTCTCCGGTTCCCCCAGAGGTTCTGCTAAGAAGAGGATGTCCCAGGAGAACAGGAATTCTGAGCAAAACCAAACACTTCACAACACAGCACTGCCGAGGCTTTTTCCAGTAGATACTTTGCTTATTGGGGAAGACAACTTTGAGTTTTTGCAGCGTTTTGAAAGGTAATTTTAATGTATCTGTAAATAGATATATTCATATATAGAAATATACCATTCTTTCCCACAAATATGAAATATATACAACAACTTGAGCTTAATCACGTCTGCACTGTCCAAATAATGCTTTCCATATACAAAACATTGCAGAAGACGCGAATTATATGGTTTGGTGTTTTTCTTTTGCTTTCTTTTCATTGGGATACCACGTGTAAACTCTCATGATTTAATACATCCTTTGCAGCACATATACCCAAAGACTCACAAAGTCCAACAGATACGCACATATAACCATGCAACCCGTGAAGTTCTTGTAAAAAGTTCAGATCATCTTCATGTTGACTCGTCTGGGCCCGCTTGTTTCTGTAAGTTCTGAGTTTGCACCTTTCCTCTTTCGTGGGACATATTGAATGTCCACGCTTCCTCTGTGTTTCCCTTTGCCACGGCTCCATGCAAACAACAACAAGAAACAGAACAAAACGACGCCCAGGAAGCTGAGGCAGCCCATTGCTGTGGAGACCAGGATGGTGGTGATATCCAGCACTACTCTGATGGTGTACTCCTCTGTGCCATTAATCAAGGAGTTGTTGTAGTCGGGGTCAAAAAGAAAGCTTCGGTTGGCATAAAGGGCTCTGTCCCTGATTCCCGAGCTTTTAACTGCGTGCATTACAGACAGAGTAGCATTGCCCGCTGGGTTCGATGCCACACACACATACATGCCGCTATCCTGAGGCTCTGCCATGCGGAACTCTAGTGAGCCATTGGTGTGGACCACCACTCTTCCCGTACTCTTTGTGGTAATGTGCCGTCTATGCGGTGTCAGCCATGACACAGAGGGAGGTGGAGCCCCATCCGCACTGCAATATAGCCAAGCTCTCTGCCCTTCTTCTGCCTGTGACGGGTAGGTTGCCATGGAGATGACCCTGGGTTTGGTGCAGATAACATAGCGAGAGATTTGAGGTTCTATCAGGTCCCTAAGAGGCTTCCCAGCCAAGGGGGCAGGAGCACTGCATTCAGGTTGAACATCCCCGTACAGCAAAGGTGGAGTCTTCTCCAGGAGCCAGCGTAAACGACAGTCACACACTAATGGGTTCTGACCAATCAGAAGACTCTGCAGGGCTACGGAAGCAGGGAAAACGCTCCTCTCAAGTGTGGAGAGACGGTTGTAACAAAGGTCAAGAATACGCAGCGAGGAGGCTCCTTGAAAGGCTTGAGGTTCCACACTGAGCAGGTTAGCCTGTCGCACACGTACAACTTCCAGACGGTCCATTCCCCGCAACCACCCTGCTGGCAGGACCCGTATACGGCTGTAAGACAGGTTGAGATGTGTTAGATACAACAGATGCGTCACAACTGGCACAGACGTCAAGTTGGTGTGGGTAATGGACAGTGTGCTGAGGTTCAGCCCCTGCAAAGTGGAGGTTGGAAACCCCTCTAACAAAGGCCAGCGGTCCACTTCCAGGTGTTTTAGTCGCGGCAGACCCTTAAAGGCGTGTGCCTGAAGCTCTGCGATGCCCAAGTCCCGCAACCGCAGGGTGTTCAGGCCATGCAGATGTGCGAGAGCATGTGTGGGCACTGAGCTCAGGTTGCAGTGCTGCAGCGTCAGAGAGCGCAGGGACGCCAGGCCACTGAACGCCCGTGGGGCAATAAACACTAGCTCATTATCACTCAGCTCTAGTACCCGCAGCCTCCTCTGCTCTTCAAAGCCGTAGTCCAGCAGAATAACAAGACGGTTTTGACTGACATCCAGCAGAGTGAGCTCGCTGAGGCCAGCTAGCGCCCCGCGCGGCAGCAGGGTCAGCTGATTGCTGCGCAGCCGGAGAGAGCGTAGCCGCGGCTGAGTGCGAAAGCTGCCCGGTTCCACAGATGACAACAGGTTGTTGCTGAGATCCAGCTCCTCTAGCAGTAGCAGCGAGGAGAAGTTCTGTGGCGTCACAATGCGCAGCCGGTTTTTACTGAGGTCCAAGGACCTTGTTTCTATCGGGATGCCCTCAGGCACCTGCACTAACCGCCTGCGATGGCATGACACAGATCGCGTGGGCACAGAGCACTCACAGCGGGCAGGGCAGGCATGGACGGGGCACTGAAACAGGAGGAGTGGCAGGAGGGAGAGCCCCAGAGCACAAGAGAACGGAGAGAACAGCATGGCCACCTACAGAGAGAAAACAGAGATAGAAAAAATGATATCAATAAGAGATACGGCTGCATGATTAGTCACTACAGGTAATTTAAACATCCACAAATATATTCTCTGAGACTATGGGTCATTCTACGAATTGGGATATTCTACAAGAAAAATTTGAATTGTTTCACATTGTATGATGCAAATTACATTTTGGTATCTCAAGCTAAATTTCATATTTGTTGGAATATGTTGGGATATAAGGAATAGTTATGGGATAGTTTATTGCTTTAAAAAAGGATGGATAACAGCTGGCAGTGGTTCAGAACATTTTTGACATCCCCCAACTTGTAAAATAGGCTACTATGATATTACCTAAATTTCTGCATGATAAAGCTGATTGTTTTTACACTTTTTGTATTCCTGGTTGAAAACCTCTGACCTAGTGACACAGTCCTTTAATTATACATAAATGAAGAAGAAAAAAATGCATATTTAATAATATAGCAGGAAGAAAAACAAATAAACTACAAGTAACTAGATTTTTTGTTCATGTTTACCCAATTATGTCATAAGTTGGCATCAGCTATTTATTGTAACCTTTGTACATGCAGTATTTAAGAGGGACACAAATAAGCCTACATTTTGTAGAATGACTCTTATAATGCACATACATGCACGTCAGGTTCTTTGTTCCATCCCAATTTCCCAACACCTCTTCTGTGCAAGACCTCTCTTGATTCTAGCTGATAGGAGCCCATGGTGCATCGATCGCCTCTTTCTCTGTCTCATACGCACACACACAACCTGCTTTCAGAAAGACATCTCCAAACATGCCATAACCATGGAAACCCCATGCTCCCTTGGCACAAGACCTGCTTTGCCAATCGAAATCAATAATTGAGGAAAGGCAGGCATTCCACAGGTCTGTTAGATGTTGATCACAAATGTGTAATTTAAATCAGATACTAGACTGACTTTATCTGTTTAAAATGTTAAATTCACCAAATAATTAGGCCAGTTGATAGTAGAATAGCACTGTAAGACAAAGACCAATTCAGATAAAGGCAGACAAAAAAGGTATATTGTAATTGTATATTTTTATATAATTTAACCTGGGCATTTTTATACTAATCCATTGACTGACTTTCCTTACCAACACGAATTGGGTTGAATCGGTTCGCGTGGCTACGCAGACGCGTCAAAAAATTCCGTATTATACATTTTTAAGACCAGACAAGTAGTTTGTTGAGGGTTGATTTGTGAAGAAGGACTTCACGCCTGCACAGATATATATTCAAATGCGTATCCCTATGGACTGAACACGTGATGCGCATGTGCGCGCCGTCTGCGTTTTCGCGGGTTTGCGTTTTTGAGGTTTGCGCAAAGATAACGGATAATCGTTTACACCTTCGAACCTATTTCAGGGAGTGGGTTCTCGAGACACCAGGGCCAGGCACTGTTTTGTGCGGATGGGCGGCCGGAGCGCGTTAAGATTTTTCTGTTAGAACGGTGTGTTGTTAGCGGCCCTAAGTTAATAACTAATGATCTTTGCAATGGAAGTGAATCAATCAAAACTAACTTTAGCTGGACAATAACTTTATCCTAATGCTGTTGTAAAGACTAAACAATCTGTTACGGTAATTTCTATTATAATGATAAAGCTGCTTTGAAACAATCCATACTGTTTACAATCCATAGCGCTTTATAAATGGTGACTTGACTTGAAATACACCCCTTATTTCAAACAATATGAAAATCAAACAGACAGTTAAAACCTCTAGCATAAGGATCACCAGCAGGGGAACTTTTACATTTTATGAGCCATCTATCTTGCATGAGAACGCATCATTTAAACCTGCATTTAAACTGTAACCAATTAGTATTGTAATTAAAAGTTAATGTTGTCCATCGAAGATCTTACAACCTCCTTTGACCATTCCTGAAGCTCTGGTTATATATTTCAATATGCTTCTGGCTTTTAGGCTGTTTTTCAGTCTTTTAAATGTTCCCTCAGACATGATGCACACTGTTCCATAATACAAGATGATGATTCTCATTATGAGAGAGACATGAGAGTAGTAATGGCTTTGAAAATATAACTATCAAAGAGCATTGTTTGGGGGAAGGTTACGTGCACACACTCTCAATCAATTATTAATAGTAAAGTCATAAAGGAATCTGTTTCCCTTTATTGCTCTAAAATGGCCCTAAAGAGAAATGGTCATAATTTCGGGCAGAAAAATGGGGCAGACCATTTTCAGTGAATTGCAATCCACCGTGGAGCACTCTCATAACCGATATAGCTACAGATTGACCTGCATTCACTATATAAACCTGGTGCCTATTTCTCTCTAATGTATAATTTAGACATGTGGCTTCACTAAGTCAAATATAATCTGTTTTTACAGCATTTTTCTTTACTTGTTTGTACAAATCACATTTTAGAAATAAGCTATAGATAAATACAGGAATTCGTTGAAATCACCAAGACAGGGTTCAAGGTGCAAATTCTTTAAAAAATCTATTTCACCTCGCACTGGCCCAATTGACCCAAACGAGCACAGGTCGTCTCATTCGAGCACTCGTATGATTAGTACGAGCAAGGCTTTCCTTTCAAATCAATATCAATGCATGCCACGAAATCTGCTCCCACATTTCCGCTGCCTTAAAAGGCGTGTGACTGCAAATGCCCTTGCTTGCACAAGAGAAGCATTTCTCAACCTTGGCAGCGCTCAGTTTCATTCACAACTCCATCAGGTTTGTCGCGACACAACACGTCAAGCGTTCTCCTGCCAGCGTGAGTGTCAGAATGAAGACAGAGGACACGTCTGGGTGGAACATCAGGGGGCAGCGCTAAGCCTGTGGTTCGTAATGGGGAGCAGCTCACTGACAGGAGAAGTTTATTAAGTTTTAATGAGTTAATAATTCAATTCATCCCAGCAGATCTGGTGACAGTATCAGCAGCAGGGGAGAGCATGAGCGCGTTGATGTAATTCTTGCTAAAGGTGTCTGGATTAGATGCACATTTCCAAGGCGTTTATTACTCTAAAATGTATCCGTAAATCATTACAAAGTCCTCTTTTTGGGAATGGAGATAAGCCATTACACACAGCGGGAAGCTGCTTTTGGTTGAACAAATGTACTCTTCTCAGTCTTTTACAAAAAAAAATTCTCTCACAGCCACAATCTGTCGCGCTCTCTACCACACAGACACACGGCAGCACAGCTTTACCACTCAGAAATACACCGAATGATCATCTTTTGCACACAGGGCTTAAATCGAGATTTTAAAGATGGGGGAACCCTGGATTTTAAAACCACAAGATACGAAAAAAGAGCACCCTTTTGAACCATGCATTCAATAAAACAGAATCTTGAAGCAAGTTGGGAGTTTATAAAGAAAAGTAAAGAAGGAATAAATTAATAATAACCTATATAAATAAAATAATTAATTATTATATTGCTCAATAAAAATAAATAAATAAAATTACTGTTTCCTTCAGCTTTCTGAAAACTGGCTGGGCATTGTGATATTCACCACAGTTCTTTTATTGTATTGACAGCCATTCTCTTCAGGTTTATACATCTAACAGTACTCTAATGATGCATAGGAAAAAATATAATATTTTGTGCTAGAGAATATGTTTTGTCTGCCAGGGTCCACCAGGAATTAATAACTGTTAAAAGTTTGTTTTTGCTAGGAAACTTGCTCAATGCAATGCAGATGAAATATACCAGAACGTCCAATTTAACAGCTGCTTACCCTCCATACAGACAACAAACAGACATCACACTAGTAAAACTCCTTGATTTTTGCTGTGAGCATGCGAGTATCAAAAACCTTCTGTGTCCGCTTCTAGCGTATCAAAGTAAAGATCAGAGCGTTTCCTCAAACATTGCAGGTGAGCTGTGGAAAACAATCCGGCCGTGTCTCCACATTGCTACATAAGTGTCTCTCTTTCACAGACATAGATTGTGAAGCCTGCGGTTTCTCTTACTTTGAGGACATTCTGCAGATTAACTTGGTCTATTTTTAGTTTATCTAATTTTAGTCTCATCCATTTTTCATTGAGTGAAACCACCACAGCCACTGAGAGCGCAGTGTCCCATCTGCCACCGGGTGAATAGGCTGTGTCTGAGCTATTTGAGACTGAAGGGAAAAAGGCAAAGTTTGTTGGAGAGTTTGTGAAGCATTGGAAGCATGCATATTTAGATATATCAGCATGTATACGCGGTAGAGAACGTGTGCGTGCTGACCTTGATCCTTCAGGGTCTTTGGATCTCATGTTTAATTCAGCACTACAGCACGAGCTTGAACTACATGTGGTGATCATTTCATACAGAGGTGTCTAAATGTAGGTGCCACGGGCTGTGTGTGTTCCCTGCGTGTCGCTTTCAGGCAGTGTGCTGTAGTATCTCTATGATGCTCTGATCCAGCCCAGTGGAGCTCTATTGACTCCAGCTATTGATCTATGCGTTATTACACATTCGCTTCTTCACACGTCTCTCACATTGCACAAGACTGAAACCCCGTGTAGCTCTGCACCCATGGCAACCGAGCTGTCAATCAAGTCCTTATCTCTGAATGTTTCATATCCCTAGAGCTCAGGTGAGAATTCACTGAATACTTTAATAATACCCAAATGATTTTGCTGGAGTGCATAGCTTCACTCATTTGAGTTTCTGGATGACCGTTTCCCTACGAAATACTATTCGTGGGGGGAATATAGTATTTCCTGCATGTTTGCATGCTGTCAGCTATCCTCATTGGAATAAATGAGTATGTTTACGTGTATTTGTGTGCGTCTGAGGCTGTCTCACTGGCAGGGCTGATGCAATGTGTTTGTTTAACGGACATTCAGTGCACAATCAGTAGAGTGTCTGGGCTCAGCTGCTGATGCCTTAATTCAGGGGGCATTTGTCAAGCCTGTCAGCATTTGTTCTTCAAATGACAGGACTTTTAAGATGCTAAGAAGGTTAAATTACAAGCACACAAATCTTTAAACACATAAAACTCATTCATAGCT